AGTGGGGATGAGAAGTTGTTTTAGTGGAGTGATAACCATACCAAGAGCTGTTTAGAATTATCCTATTTAGGTATCAATGTTTGCAATTGAATCTTCCAAGGTTCAAGGAAGACCTCCTTCAAGTTAAGTAGATTACTTTTTAGTCTGTTCAGCCTCTTCCATTTCACTACAGCTAAGAAATATTGAGTGGAAACAGAAACGGTAGCCCCTGGATGTTTATTTCAGGTTATGCAGACCATGCAAACTGCACCAAGGATCTTTCCCAGGAGTTGGACAGAGTTATTAAACAGCATTGATGAAAACATTAAGCCTTGCAGAACAGCATACACTAGCGTGGTGTTCTCCAGAAGTGAGTGCAGCTCCTGCCGTCTCAACCTCCAAAACCAGTAAACATGCTGGCTGCTGGGGAAGGCAGCTGTAGTTCCACAGAGCAGTAGTGCTGCAGGTTGGGAAACTTTGACATACGTACTGTCTCTAATCATGGGACTATCACATGCTTCTCTAGGGGCTACCTGTGTCTGACTGAATGAAAAGGAAAAGAACCTGCAGGGAACAAGCCCCTCGCCTTCCACGTGATGTTGCAAAGGGCTCAAGGGAATCATGCTGAGAACAGCCCCAAAAGCTGCTAGCAGTCCCACGAAATCAGTAGCTCCTTTCGCAGTTGTCTTGTAGTCTGAGCGATTAATCAGGCTTAATAATAATAATTTTAGAACTGCAGAGCTGGAAGGGACCCTACGGATCATTGAGTCCAGCCCCTCTCAAGGAAGCCCAGTGGGGAATCGAACTTCTAACCTCTGGCTCCACAGCCAGAGACCTAAACCACTGATTAAGAAAATAACCACGGTGATACAGAGGCATCAAAAGGCACATTTAAAAGATGACCTCCCGACTCTACAAATCCAATATATTTTAGAGAATATAGAAAGAGATTGAGCCCCAACTGTGCCCTGAGTAACAGGATATGTTTAATAGAAAAATCTAGGTGAAATTCACAACTCTGAAGTACACAGTTGTTTGACAGAATGAATAAGGAACCATGGTTAACAGACTCCCCCGTCTTTTACTGTAAAATGTGTGTAAGGCAGAGGCATGAGGGGGGATTATATACGAAAGAAAAAAACTCTGAATAAATAACCTTAACAACAATTTTCTGTAGGACTTTTTTTCCCCAACAAAGGACCGCCCCCATCCCAACTTTCCTCTTGCAATCTATGTTTAAGTGAACTGAATTCAAAGCATCAATTCCACAATTAGTATTTCACAGATTGCTTCTGTGAGCAAACCTTTCTGGCCCAAGACATGTTGCTTCCTCTTCTCAACTCAAGTTGTACATGACTTAAAGCCAAACACATTATTTTGGCACCTAAAGGCAGAAAACCCCACCTATGCCTCCTCTTCTATCTAGAAGCAAACAAACAAGCAAACAAAACCCAACTAGGAAATGAAACAACAAGCTGTTGTTGCCATTTTATGAAACTCAAGATCTGTAAACTAGGATAGCTGCCTCTGTGTGCCTAATGGTCAGGCTGGCCGTGCTCTATGCTTTCACAAGGGATTGACTCACTGGTACTGATTTGAAGATGCAGCATTTGTTTCACTTACGGAGCTGGCGCACTTTTAGGCAGACCCATGGCATTTGTTGCAGGTGTAGAAGGAAGCGAAGGAAGGACAGCACTGAGGAAGGCTACTGGATTCTGAATCCGACCCGTTGGAGACAGAGGAGTAGGAGGCACATTTTGGGGATGGAACTCATTCATACTGGATACAGAAAGCAACAACGGTGGCAGGACAGGATCTTTGGGACTTGCAAGTGATGGCTCAGTTTGGTTTGTCAGTCCTCCTGCAGACCTTGTCTGGGCTGCTGGAGGGGACCCTAAGACGTTTTCCTTGTTCGTTGTCCTCTGGCTTCCTTGAGTTACATTACTGTATGGAGGCATGGGGGAGCTAGAGGGGGAGCTGACCACTGGTGAGATGTTCTGAGATGCCAGGAACTGCTTAGGCCGGGTATAAGTGAATGTCTGAGTTGGAGGATTTTTGTTCTGCTTATAAGTAGCCGACGAAGGTGGTTGCTGCTGCTGGCTGGGTGAAGTAGATGCATTCGATGGTGCAAAGTTGAATGACAGCTCTCGTGGGGGTGGGGGGGATGCCTGCTGAACCTGCTGCTGTTCAAGCAAGACCTGGTTGTGCAGTTGTTTTAATTGGGTTGGATCCCTGCACATAAAATTAAAAAGGAGGTGTCATCTATAATATGGTCCATGAGAAAACCAACCAACAGACTAAAGATGCTATTTTTGAAACCAGAGAAAGATAATGAATTTCTGCATAGAGCAGTGGTGGACAAGTTCTGGGAATCAACTTCCACCAGGTATTACTGTACCACTGAATTTAAAATTTGTGGGTGACTCCTAATGTTGCCGCTGTCATTGTTGCCTACATTTTGAGGCAACTGTGGCAGTTCCCCATGGTGCTGGATGGAGCCTGGACTGAGCAGAGTTCCAGTTCAACGTCTGGAAAGCCTAATGTTCCCCATCCTGACATTAATTACTTTGCTTTTCCCACATATTTCACTCCCAGCAGCCCAGATTAGCACAACATATAAAATTATGAGATCTGCCATTGAAAAACACCTGGAGGGACAAGATTGCCTTGCTTTGCTTTAGAGAGATATTGACTTTCCCATTACATCACTTGGACCTTAACCAGAATGAGGAAACTGTTTATAAAGATAAAATAGAGTGGATACTTTCAGATGGAGGGCTTGAAGTAAAAGTCATTAGCTGAAATTCTCTTGCACAGTTATGCAAGTGGCATAATGTTTGAAAGTAAATTGCCATAAGTCACGTGACTTGACATACAATAGATAATGCCTACAGAGATTTCTTAACTCATGGTAATTTGTGACCAAAAATTATGCTATTTGTGTAATCATGCAACAGGATTTCAGCCACTGTAGAGTTATTCCATCTTTCCTTGCTTCCTTTGTTTTTTATGGTAAAAATCTCAGGAGTTCTAGGAAAACACAGGAGAGTTACAAAAAATGTGCTCAGTTAGATTGACTGTATTTGAAGGATCTGAAGGCAGATATGCAAGTTCCAGCACTAGATAATGATATTATTCCAGACCAGTGGTTCCCAGCCTTAGGTCCCCGGATGTTCTTGACCTAAAACTTTCAGAAGTCTTCACCACTAGCTGTACTGGTCAGGATTTCTGGGAGTTGTAGTACAAGAACATCTGGGACTCAAGGTTGGGAACCACTGGTCTAGACTAACAATCTCAATCTTGCTGCTTAACCGAGTAAGATTTGAATGTATTTTGGATTGAATTCTCACTTAAGCATTTGCCTGCAATTTATGTTTCCTTTTCAAATACTTTTAAGCATTGTGCCTACAATTTTTCCACAGCTGTAAGACTTTTGGAAATTTTAAAGTTTTGAAGTAATCGTGTGCCTATGGAACATACAGGAAATGTAGAAATAAAGCTTGTGGAATTACTGCAACAATAAAAAGACTCCAGCACTAGATAATGATATTATTCCAGACCAGTGGTTCCCAGCCTTAGGTCCCCGGATGTTCTTGACCTAAAACTTTCAGAAGTCTTCACCACTAGCTGTACTGGTCAGGATTTCTGGGAGTTGTAGTACAAGAACATCTGGGACTCAAGGTTGGGAACCACTGGTCTAGACTAACAATCTCAATCTTGCTGCTTAACCGAGTAAGATTTGAATGTATTTTGGATTGAATTCTCACTTAAGCATTTGCCTGCAATTTATGTTTCCTTTTCAAATACTTTTAAGCATTGTGCCTACAATTTTTCCACAGCTGTAAGACTTTTGGAAATTTTAAAGTTTTGAAGTAATCGTGTGCCTATGGAACATACAGGAAATGTAGAAATCAAGCTTGTGGAATCAGACAAGCTGATGTTGCCTGGAATTACTGCAACAATAAAAAGATTTATACTTTGATAATCAGATGAATTTTGATATGATTGGAAATGGTTGTCCGATTTCATTCTGGAATTAAACTTTTTGGGGGATAAATGCCAGCTGAGACAAACACAGGCTTCTGATTCTTCCCTAGAGGTCTAGAAAGTTCTGCAGGGCTCTTAGGGACATGTTCAGGCATCAGAATCCCTGAACTGACATTTTGGTTAGGTTAAATCTTTCCTTCTGAGCTGATCAGATCTAGAACAATGTGCAAAGGACAACAATGGCAGCTCCATTCTGCCTATGGAAAGGCCAGCTCTATCAGGACAGATAGTTTTCCTTTCCTTGTGCCACATTGTGAGCATTGCCTGAGTTGTCTCTTCGGAATGAAATTCCAAATGGTCCTGTTGCACTTTTCCTTTGGCCAAGCAATATTCCTAACTTTTGGTTTTCGGGAAGATTACAGCACATTCAACACCTGCAAAAAGCAGTAGTCTCATTTTTTGCATGAAAGAAGAACAATTAGAATGGAATCCTCTTTCTGTCTGTACTAAATGCCGCCTTACTTACAATTTTGGTTTAGCCAGAACTGGAGGTGGTTCCTTTGAAGGTGACAACGGCTCTTGAGGCCTAAATATCTGTCCATTGATCTTATCTGGAAAACTGCTTGGTCGGTTTTGATTTGCAGGCCTTCCTCCATCTTCTGACGACGTTTCACTTCCTTTATCATCTTCTGGCAGCTTAAAGTGCACATGAAGGCCTATTTTTGAACTTGACCGGGGCTCATTGTGGTTGACAAGAACTCCTTCCAGTTTAGGTTTGGATGGCTGATCCATCAGTGGGAGTGAGGGTACCGGTGCAGAAGGCGGTTGCTCCATGGCAACTAAATTGATTGAACTCACATTATGAAGAGCAGCATTAATGTTCTGGTCCTCCGGTCCTGGAGAAGCAAGTGTTACTTGTGTATGACTGCAAAAATCAATGGCTGAACCACAAAAATGTACTCAGGGGAGGCACAGAAGGGTAACAAACCTGACAGGGAAAGCTTTCTGTGACATCTTTGATATCCAGAAAAAAATAATAAGTATTGAGGTAGGTGGGGGACAAACTACTGTTTGGCACATTAGACTAACTCTTTATTAAGTCTAACTCTGTTGCAGCTGGAATAAGGACACAATTCTGACTAGACAAGATAGCTGAAGTCGAGCTACAATAACACTTGACCCGTTTAAGCTCCACTGAATCCAAACCCGTCCCAGTTTAGGGATGTGTTGGCACTGCAGCTGTGTCCCTGGTGGACGTTGGGATCTGGCCTACTTCAGGTCCTCCTTCCTCCTTCTCCTTCTCTGCCTCTTTTCCGCCTCTTTTGAACAAGGCCCTTTTGGAGATCAGCCAGTACCAGGCTGTTCTGCCAGCAGAAAGGCAAGTCTGTCAGTACAAGGGGCTTCTGTTCATCCCAAAATGCTCGAGTGGGCACATCTTTTAAAAGTTATTATCATACTGTAAGGAAGCTTTATTTGGGGGTATTATTTGCTGGGAGAAAATAAAGTTTGCCCACGTTCCAGTAGCCAGGATTTTAAACCTTGCATACAAAGACATGGGAAAACAGTCAGATACTAAGTTAGAAGATAAAGTCAAATGTATGGATCTTGACTAGGAAGAACGTGGGAACTACAGTGTTGTAAAGTGATTTGCCCTCCCCCTAGACAAAATTGGCTAAGGGAAGACAATGTGGTTTTATTTTTGTTTGTATTGTAAAATCAATGTATTTTTTAAAAAACTGGGGGAGGAAATCAACTTTTAAAAAATCTCATTTGCTTTTAAAGACCTCATTTAGACTACTAGTACAGTCTAAATGAAGTCAAAGAGAAGCAGAGCAGCGCCGGCTGTGTGATGCCCAGGGTAAAAAGAATGAGTGGGAAGGGGTGGTTTGTTAGGGTTTTAACTTCAGCAAATCATGTTATCTTCTTCTGCAGTACTATAAACTAGAGGCGGACAATTTTCAGAGGTACAAGAACAACACACCCACACTCACACCCCTGGCTCTTGGAGGGCTCCCCTGGCTTCCACACTGTGCCCATCCATCAAATACAGCAGTTTTAGAATTTTTTAAAAAAACTACAAAAGCCCCCTCATGCCCTCTAATGACCAATTTCTAAACTTACAAAAGGAGGTCAGGAATCAAAGCATACGGTGCAGTGGGGCTTAAAAGACAGCAAAACTGCTTCAAACATCCCCCCCCCAAACAACGAGATCTTTGGGGCAATTGAAACACTGAACTGGGATACAGAAATGGAGGGTGCTAGAGGGTTGCCTTTGGGCCCCTGGGCATCTGAGGGTAGCCCAGAGGTCACACTTCACCCACCCTTGCCCTCTGCTGTGGCATTAGGGGAGGGAGATTAGCTATGCCATGTCCAGACAGGCATAATTAGGAGGCCCAGGGGATAATTTTTTTTTTTAAAAAAAACCCCACAATATCCCGTATCACAACCTTACTTTTCCAACAACAGGTGAGAACACTACTGTTGGGGGAAGCTTTCTTTAGGTCGAACTTTGCTCCCGGAGCTGACACTCGGGGCCACTACCACTAACCCCCAAGGTGAAGGGCCATCCCACTCTACCCTAATCACACTCCAGGCACCAGATCTGGGGTTTAAGATTGCTTCGTGTGATGCTGTTTTCAATCAAACTGGTGCCTGTGCTCCAGGACTTTGTCTGAAGCATTCATCCTTTCTGTGTGTACGTGTGTGGGGAGTGAGGAACGATATTTACATTGGCAATAAACTCATTTTAGAATTGTTGCTACTTTTGTTGAATTTAAAATCTTGTATACATTGTTTGAATGACACACGGATGCAGCCCTTCTTGCAAAGGGTCATTAAAATAATCTCTTACCTTTTACCATTAGATAAGCTGAATTAGAAACGGTCCCATACTTGTTGCTTGCAGTACATGTAAAACTCCCAGAATCCTCTGAAAATACTTCAGCAATGACCAATGTACAAATCTCCTCTGAAAACAACAATAAAATTAGCACATTTCTACCCACCCCTCTCTCTTTCACACACACACCCACCCACCAGTGAGCCTCTTCTGATTTGGGCTTATTTCAAATTACATGCAGCTGAAAACATGACACCTATTTCCTTACTGCATGACAAGAATGCCAATTGTGGAGGGTTTTTTTGGGGGGGAGGGGACAACAACAACCAAACAGTAGTTTTCAAAACATGGCTACTGATCCTTCCAAAACTGGCTTTGTCGTCAATCAATGGGCTAGTTTAGACCCTGTTAAAGGCAGCACAGTGGGCTACTGGCAAGACTGGGCCCTGGAAAAATCTGCCAGAACATCCTCCTTCTGCACAAGTCTAGTTAAAAATAATAATGCTTTTGAGTGATATCTCAAAAGCATTGAGGAGGAGTAGCTCCCTAGAACTGTGTCTTATATTTATTTCAAGATCATCCCTATCATTGGGCAAAATAAAGAAATTGCATCAAACAACAGGTGCTGAGAGGCAGCAGTAGGTTGTTGGAGGACAGAGCTGTGGGCCTCGTGGCCCAGTCTGCACCTCCTAAACGAAGCTGCTGCCATCAGGCAGATGCTGCTGCTCAATGGTTAGTGCTGGAAAAGGTGCCACTTCAGCTTTTGTGCTGCCATATTAATAGTTGTGCGGCAGCAATGGGAGACAGGACTGAGAAAGCGTTGCCGTTTCCCCTCTCAGGTAGCAAAAGGTCTTGGACTGTGTGTTTTTTCTTTGCTGCACCAGACTTCAGGTATGAGATGCATGTACAGGGGAAACACATGCTGATACTGCTTCATTTAAGGGGAAGTGCTGACCCCAAACTATTTGAAGCATGAGGCACAACTGCAAATCAGTTTGTCCTTTCCAGGTCATGGTCGCAGTTTCCACGCACGCATTGTCACAAAGAAGAGGCTACCTAACACAAAAGACAGTAATTTGCATAGAATTTAATTGAGCTAATTTCTCTTACTCTTCATTCTCTATATATGTGCAAGCCAATTTCCTTCTAAATCAGCCTCCCCATTTTTGGAACCAATTTGCAGCCCACCTTTTAATTTATATTCCCATGGTCTGGCTCCAAAATCAAATTCTCTTCAGTTAACTACTGCCATTCCATTACATCATCACTTCATTGCCTCCAAATCCGATGAAAACCAACATATGAAGGGTACGCACTGCTACTCTCTTTACATAGAGAGGGCAGGAGGGATTATAAGAAGGAGATAACACGGCTGGCAGGTGGCTGAGTTATCTCCCTTTCTTTCTGCAAAAACTTAATTAAGCCAACTAAACGCAAGCTGACAGCTGAACCACATGGAAACCTCAAATGCCCCCTGGGCAAGGAAACAAGGTTATTGCCGTTCTCTTTCCAGGATTTTGTACCATAAAATAAACTATTCCTATGAAGTGGGATAAAAATAACAAATGATATCATTTCCTGTTAAGCACCAGAACCCCTCCAGTGCTTTGGGTGAAAAAGGAAAGAGACACTTTTGAGGCAACCCCTCTGTACATTCTTTGGCAGATGGCATGACATCTGTCAGTCCCTGCTGGCGCAGTTTGTTCCTGCCACTTTTATGAGCAGCTCTCTCATCTAATGTACATCCCCACATGTGTCTGTTTTTTCTGAAACACATTTTTGAGAGCACACCTTCTACCATGCCCCCTCCAAGTCAATTGAGCCTAGAAAGAAATGGCTGTTTGCTATGACACAGCACTGTATGGGGTTGACACCATATCCTTTCATCCAGCATTTACTGTAGATACTTTGCTCTCGTCCTGAAGGTCCTGAAAAAACCCAACCACCACCACCACCCTAGGAACCATCAGGATTCACCTCTCGGCGGCAGAATGCTCAGTGTGGCATTCTCCAGTTTCAGAGCTGGAATGTTTGAAGTGGTACTCTCATGTTTCCTAAGTGAGATATGGGGAGCGGAGGGGTTAAGAGAGAATAACTGGCAGGGCCTGAGGTGTGACACAATATTCTCCAACTGGCAAGCCAGATAAAAATAGCCCAGCTCAACATCATCTGGTGCACATTTTGGCCCCAAAGAAAATAGTGTTTTAATGTTGACTATTCCATTCACATTTAGTCTAGGAAAAGACCTATCCTCATGTCTGAAATAAATCTCTCAGGGGAGAAAGGAAGCCATAATCCCCCTGCATAAGTTCTTAGTACCAGTGTTAATTTTAGGGTGCCGTCTTATACCCACTTACCTGGGGCCAAGCTCTATTGAATTCAATGGGGCTTACTTTTGAGTAGTTATCTGTGGGACTGGAGTACACATTACTGGCCATGTCACCTTTGGTACACCTTTTCAACTGAACACCATTCATTGTAAGATTTCATGGCTGTTGGTTCATTCTGTTGGTTCATGGTGCAGGGCTTTAGGAAAATGAAATAACTGACTGTTCACACAGATAATAATAAAGAAATATACCTACCTGGTTCAGACATAGAGCGAGGCTCTAAAGGAAGGAAAGAAAGAAAAACATTACTCAATTCAACAATTGTTTCATTGCACAAAGTGTCTTGCCAAGACCCTTTAGGAAATTATGTATTCAGGCTGGCTTACAAGCTGGTTTTCCTTATACTGTACCAGAGGAAATTAGCTGTTAGTGCAGCTCAGAAATTGTGCATATGCTATCCTGTACAGTGGGGTCTTCACTTAAAAATGGCCCGAGTTAAGAACATTTTGACTTACAAACCACTCTCATAGGAAAATATTGACTTGACTTACATACTTAGATTTGAGTTAAGAACTGAAAAAAACCCACGTGGGAGGCAGGGAAAGTGCAAAATTTGAACTTTCAGTTAACTGTTGACCAGTGAAAAGGGTGCCTGTCTGCTTCCTCACTCCTCCCAGCGTTTAGAGAGTGGATTGGGAGACAGTCTTCAGACTGCCTGGTACTGTACTGCCTGGACTGTATTTTCTCTGCCTTCCCTGAACCTTTCTTGACCTAAGAAAAAAAGAAACAAAATATCCCCTCTAGTGGTCGCAGGCGGAATAGCAGCTTCCCATTAGTTTCTATGGACGGAAAAGAGCAGATACGGATAAAATGGTTTTCAGTGCATTCCTATGGGAAATGCAGATTTGACTTGAGAACTTTTTGACTGGAGAACCGCCTTCCAATACGGATTAAGTTCTCAAGTCAAGACCCCACTGTACATCACATTATGCATGGATACCTATGCTACACAACGCTTAGCCTTATGCAAGGGGTACTAGGTGCCAGATTTAATCTCCTTTCTTCTTAATATGTCACAGGTGTTTAGATACATGGTAGAACCTGTTTGACATATGGTAATACAGTACATGGCTGCACGCTGAACCTGTTAGGTCTGACCAGTCAAGAATTGGCCTTACATAGCTAATATTCTCCCAGCTGTATTTATTGCCATCTGGAGTGGGGAGATAACAAGACAGACATATCTTGCAGGGTTGTTGTAAGGAGGACTGAGAAACATTCTGCATACTTGAAATGCACTCTAGAAATACTGCTTAATATAACTATGAATTTTTGCAAGAAATTGCCTGTCTGGAAATACTATGGCTTATGTTTTTTTGTTTGTTCAGGAGCATTGTGTGTGTGTTAACTGGCCACCAAGCTGGAACTGACTTATAGAGACCTTAACAGGGATTTCCAGGTAAGTGACAAATTTAAGGAGTGCTCTTGCCAGTTTCTGTCCCTCCCAATTGATAGTTATTTATTTCTAGCCAATCTTTCCTCCAAGGATCTAAAAAAAACCCTCAATCCCGTTAGCACACAGTTGTCTCCCTCTTCCTTGTAACAGTACTATGAGATAGGCTATGCTTAAAGATAGTGCCTGCCCCAATAAACCTGGCTTTCTCTAGTTCTAGCCTGGCACTTGGGCAGCAAAAACTTGCTATAGCTCTGAAAAGCACTTCAACATGAATGTCTGTAAGAGTGAGGAGCCATACTTTTCTGTAATATTCTGAAGTCCGGAGAGTCTTCTATTAATGTCCCTTCTCTATACCACTCAACCTTTGGAGATGGTGCTCCTTTAACTCGGCATTCGAACACAACCAGCTGACCTTCAGAGGCAGATATGTTCTGTAGCGTCTGAAACAAAGGAGGATTGTTGGGTCCTTAAATATTCTTAGAGTTACAACTGAGAATAACTGTGACAAATATTGTATATTTATATTTTTTTAAAAAAATATATATATATACGTATAAACTTCATCCACAAGAAATTCCAGGAGAGCGTACATAACACTTACAAAATGATAAATAGTAATCATTCAATTACAAAATGAAAGGCATGAAAACTCTTTGACATGCTGGGCCACAAAAAAACTAGAGCCATTTCATTTTGTTAAAGCTGCTTATGAAAGTTTAAAATAAGTTTATTTAAAATGGCTGAGCAAAACCAGAACATTTTAATTTGGCTCCAGCTCCTTTCCCTGTTTGGTACCAGGGAAGGCGTTCTGAAGTAAAGGCACCACCACAGAAAATGCCTTTTCTTTTGTCTGTGGGTAATACATTTCTCCTTCTTTGCATTTATGCAAAAAGATGCTTTTGAGTAATTCCATGCTAGGCAGTTGTTTTTAGGAGTTGAGACTGTGGAGCAGTACTACCCTATGTTTCTGAACAAGTACTCTGTTGTTTTAAATGTGTTTTAGAGTTTATTTTACTTACCGTTTTTAATATAATCCTTGTTTAATTTTTTTCTTAAATATTTGTATACTTACTGTTTTAGCTTTTACAGATTGGCTTTTTAATCATATAAGGTTTTTAATCATATAAGTCCTTTTAAAGAGAAAGGCGGATAAAAATATTTTAAATAAATAAGTGTTCTTTGAAATATGCAAACTTGTTCAGGACAAGAAATCTCAAAACAGCCTTGGTAATATAATATTTGATGGCCATCACAAAGATATTGTATGATTTAAGTAACAGCCTGGAGATAGTTAGCAGGCTACCATTTCTTTCTTCTTTTGAGAAGGTAGTACAAGCAAGTTACCTTGGTGAACACCGGAGCAGCTATTATGGGCCTTCCATCCAATCCTTGTAAATAATTAGTGGGACTTTGACTCTATCGGGTAGAAAGCAAACATTAGGATGTAAATCGTTGGTATCAGGCAGTATGTCAGAAAAATCCAGTGCTGACTGATGAGACATTTCTGTTTCCTTGGGAAGCGGTTAATAAAAAGGTCCAAGTGGAAAACATCATGTTGGAAAGCAAACCAATGTGAACTTTGCAGGGGAAAAAATATCTGTGGGCATTTTCCTGAGTCGCTGTATCAGAATCAGTTCCTGTCACCTCCAAATACCTCACATGAAACCTCTGGAAATGTCACAAGGCTTAATATGATGAAGCTTCATTTGTTTACATCTATCTCTCCAAATACCTCACATGAAACCTCTGGAGATGTCACAAGGCTTAATATGATGAAGCTTCATTTGTATCTACATCTATCTGTCTGCCCGTCTGCCCATCGATCAATCAATCGATCTTCTGCATATGTCAATCTATCATATAACTTTTGCCCTTCCTCCAAAGAACAACTCCAATGAATCTTTAAACATATCAGCTTATTTTACTGCAAAAATAATTATGAGAAAAGTTATTTTCTTTTTCCTTTATGAACTTATTTCATTCAGAATTAGTATACAGAAAAGGTAACTGAACTCTTAAGACACAATATTCTAGACTTTTAGGAAGCAGATAGCTCAGAATTCCTCTCAATATTTGTATCAGAGAAATGCCACTTAGAAAAACATATACAGTACTGAAATCCATGTGGGAGAGACTGGAAGGTACAGCTGAATCCTTCTACTAGCTATTGACAGTATGGGAAGAACACTGCTAGAAGACTGAATTCTTCCTTGATCATCTATTTCTCTTGCCAGATATGACCTGAAAGTTTGTGGGAACCTATTCAGAACAGATTTCGGGAGCACATGGGGCAGGCTCTTGAGGTGAGAGGGGGATAGAAATTCTATAAAAGCAGAAGTCCATTAATTACTGTTGTATTTAGCTCTTTGTCCTTTGCTGAATAAACTGGATCTACAGTGGATAGAGTGCAACTGGGAATACAAGCACATTCATTTTGACATCAGTGGTGCATTCAAGTAAGACTGAGAATACACAAGGGACCCATTCTCCCAAACAAGCTGGAAGGGCCCCAGTTACAATAGGGCCAACTTACTGCATTGTGATATAAGTGAAAAAATACACACCACCATGTAAGTAAGATGACACCTCCCATTACCATAAACTACTATCATTGCATTGTAGTTTAAAACTAACTAACTGCACTGATGTTTCATATCCCTCAAAGAAGGATTGCTATCATTGCATTGTAGTTTAAAACTAACTGCACTGATGTTTCATATCCTTCAAAGAAGGATTCCTTCTTGTTGACCATTTCTACCTCTAGGGCTACAAATTTATAGGAGTCTCCATCTCTCTTCTCATATAAAGCAAAACGTGCTGCTTATATACTGCCCCACAGTGCTTCAAGCACTCTCTGGGCAGTTTACAAGTTAATTATGCAGGCTACACATTGCCACCCCCAGCAAGCTGGGTACTCATTTTACTGACTTCGGAAGGACAGAAGGCTGAATCAACCTTGAGCCGGCTACCTGGGATTGAACCCCAGGTTGTGAGCACAGTTTTGGCCGCAGTACAGCAGTTTAACCACTGCACCACGAGGCTATATAGGAGCTCCAAAGCCATGTTTCATCAGCATTTGTGTTCAACCACACTAAGAGACACAACAGCTTCCCGACACATTGCCTTCTCACAAAAAACTGGGCTGCTTGTCCTGACAATTTTCATCCTTTCCTCCTTTGCTCAGCACATATAAACACATGTTCCTTCTTTTTTGAAGGATCTGCAATGGCTCTGGAACTACTGTACTAGCCTCAGGGATATTAAGCCAGCTAGCTCTAGTCCAAGGAAGTAACTGCATGTAAGTGAGTCAGAAAAGCTTGCTTTGCCTGACTAGGTCACAACTAAGGTTCCTTGGATGCTAGAGACTTCTAAGGGACTCAGGGCTTTGCTTTCTCGTTATTTGCTGGAAGAAGAATTCAAATAGAGAATCCACATGTGTGATCAATACTGGACTGTAGTATTCTGTTACAAATCATTCCTGTTTAGCAAAAAATAAATAAATATCCATGCAACAGGAATTTTAAAGAGTTTTTAGCTTGCAGGTAAAAGTGGGCAACTTGTGGCCCCTCTAGATGTCATCGGGTCATCGGACAGTAATTCCCATTGTGCATCACCACCTGAGTCCTCTGCCCTAGGGCTGAGGAGAGCTGCAAGCCAACAATACCTGGAGGCTCACAACTGCCTCGTGTTGTAGGTGAAGCCTATTCTGTTCCTTCCTGATGAGTGCAGGTAGGGATTAAAAAAGAAACAGTGAAGACGAATATAATAGTTGCACCTTGAATAGCCTGTCTCAATTTGTTGCTTACAGCTTCAGTTCCAAGGTGGGGATAAGTCTCTCTAGGCTAGAGTTAACTTAACTGACTAACGCTTCTGGAATTGACTTAGAAGTAGAACACCTACTGATAGAAAAAAAAATGCTGAGACCAGTAATTGCTTGTCAGTATCAGAACTGAGGTTTCCCCACATTTTTTTTAAAAAACACGATTTTACTCTCACTTTTCTCCAAACTCTTTTGGTTCCAGTCATCAAAGTTAGAAAGGAAAGGGGTGGGGGAAACCCTCTTTTGTTGTTGATATTGCTAAATCAAAGAGCTGGAAGCTCTTGCAAAGCACCTAGAGATCTCTCAGTAGAACTGGATCTACCATCTTTACTATCTGTTTTATGCTGTACACCTACCTACCTCCCTGCCTGCCTGCCTGCCTGCCTGCCTGCCTGCCTGCCTACCTACCTACCTACCTTCAGTGAATTCAGCCACAGCGAATTCAGTCAGGATTATTTCTGAATAGATACATAAGAGACCTGCACATGGGCTTACTTGCTTCTTCTCATGTGTTTAATGAATACATTTGAATAGCTTAAATATAAATAGCTTAAATATATTCTTTTTTTCTCTCAAAATAGGTTATTCTCTTTCTCTGTGTACCAATCCCTCTACCCCAACCTCTCTTTTTATGCTTGTCTTCCAAACTGCATTAGAAGTGAAACTGCTGGTGCCACAGGTGAAGGCTAATGCTTGGGACAACATGCAAACAAATTCTAGCCTATAAAGTTTAGGTGTGTCTTCTCTCCCTGAATAATGAAGCATGTTCATTTCTCTTACATGAAGGACAGGTATTGACACAGGATGTATCATTGCAGGTTGTGGCTTGGGTTCTTCTTGGTGAGTAACTGTGGTATTAACTGGAGGCGGTGGCACATTTGAAGAGGCCTTTAAGCGGTTCTGATTTCTGGGAAAACATTAAGTGAAGGTATATTTATATTAAAAAAAACATACTTTTGATAAAGCTGGGCAAAAACAAAACAAAAACACAAAAATAAAAGCAAAGATTGCAGAGTTGGCCAAAATCAAAAACCCCAAAGCTATTAAGTCCTTTGAAAGACACAGCATGCTTTTAGGTTCTGCACTGCTCTTCAGTAAGCAAGATGAACAACACAAATGCAGGAAGAGGGCCAGTGGTTTAGTTATCTGGCTGCAGAGCCAGAGGTTGGGAGTCCAGTTCCTCGGATGCCACCTGAAACCATCTCAGTGCTTGGTAGATCTTTGATTTTGTGAAGGCAGCAGTATTTAACACATAATTTATTTTGATTGATTTTTAAATTCTTTTGAGTGATTAAATTGAGGTACCTATTAATTGAGACCAAATTCTATATCTATATCTATAGTTTAATACAAATACTTATAAATAATGTGGATTGCAAGCAGCAATAATGCCTTTGTTATTTTGTCAATGTCTTGTGAAATAATACTTTTTTAAAAATAGAGTTCTGTGGCACCTTAAAGACTACCGCATTTGCATGGCTTAGAGGCTATTCCCCCAGATATACAGCGAAATCAGCTTATATGTGGACAGTGTTGCCTGTAGCACTTACTGAGAAATCACATAATTGTCGTTTCCACCATCAGTATTTCCAGCATTTACCATCTCTTTGCCTTTGCTGTCTGAAATCTGTCAGTTTTATAAGAAACAGCACTACTTTCTTTAAATAAACAATATGAGTGTTAAGGTTCATATGGTGACAGCTGGACTTTGATACAAGACAGGGAAACTAGTTAACTGACATCTAATCCATTTTAATCCGGTCCTTTGCAGACATGTAGGTTGCCTCTTAACATTCACTATAACAAAAAAAGCAAGACAAACACATGCACCCCTGCCCAAATAGATCTGCAGTTCACAACTCCAGAGCTTGGAAGAGGTGCTTTTCTAGACTTCAGTTCCCAGATTTCCCCATATTGCATGGCCCTGACGATCTGTTAATACTTTTCTATAAAATATTGAGGCATAAATATAGACATGTATCTATATAAGGCTGATTTAAATGCCATCGCTTCCACCACATAACTCTTGAAATTATACTTTGCTGACAGTATAAGAAATATTCATATTCATATTCAGTATATGAAATATTCTTCTATATTGAGAATTCTTCATGAGCAACCCTTAGCCTTGTCAATATAAATAAAGTTCCTAAGTGAGCAAATAACGAGGTTGCCTCTATGGGAGAGGAAGCACCTAGAGTCAACTTCCAAAGGTGTAAATTATGTTGCAAGATGCATTTCTGATTTCCCTCTCTTTTCCTACCATTTCCCTCTCATACATAACACAAAATGATCTTCACTGTGAGAAGAAAAATCTGTAGGAAAAGGACTTTGGTCAATATAGGTAAGGCACTGGAGAGCTGTGATTGAATTCATACATACCCTGAAGCCACTTCTAAAATAAATTTGAAAAGCAGCATAAAATTTGTATGAATTAAGAGGGGACTACAAGCTGGAAAATGCTCAGGCCCACTTGATCCAATTCATAGCTGCTCTAGAGTGCTGCTTTAAAGATAAGTGTGTGCGTGTATGTGTGTGTGTGTGTGTGTGTATAGAAGGGACACACATTTGTCTCTTCTATATATATTCTCTCAGTCTCAGTAGGCATCCTTCAGTCTCGAGAGACTATGGTAACGTGCTCTGTATGGAGGTCTTGGAACAGCGTCTAGTGTGGCTGAGAAGGCCAATTTGAGAGTGACAATCTCTTCCACATTGAAGACAAATGTAATCTGTCCCCTGTCCAGCTCCCTGATTTTGCTTGTTTTGAGACTGCCGAGGCAAAGAGGCAGTCCCAATATATAGTCTATATTCCATCTCCCTGGTTTTGCTTGTTTCGGGACTGCAAAGAGGCAGTCCCAATATATATTCTATATTCCATATATATATGGATGGCAAATTCAACCATACATCTTCAACGTTTCACAAGGACTGCCATCCATACAATACTCACTGATCCATCTCTTCTTTGATGGTCTCGCTCTCTGATTCAGAAGATGATGCTCCTGTGGAAAATCAAAGGTCACATTATGTGGCAACTTGTTTATTGAATTTACCTCAGGTGGACTTATCACAGGACACCAAAATTTCTTAAATTGAAAGGGGAATTAGCAGAGAAGTACTGAGGCAAATGAATGAGAATATTTTAGCTATGTCGTGAGAAATGAAAAGCACAGATTGTCATAGCAGATCATTTAAAGTAAAATAAATGGGGGAAGAAGCGCAGGAAACAGAAGAAATTTAAAGTAAAATAAATGGGGGAAGAAGTGCAGGAAACAGAAGAACTTGTTAGCAGAAGAACTTGGGAGATCAGTATGGAAGCAACAAAACATCACTCTTTAGTGCTGCCATATCCGGTATTCTAACAGCTGCCATATTGTCCACCTTACCATAGATGAAGAAGGAGGAAAAATGTAGACCAACCCTATTTTCAAAATGACCATATCTTTGCACCACAAATGTGCAGTTATAACCAACATTTAATGGAGATGGACCCCACATGTTTTTCCTTAAACAGGACATCTCTCTGAGTGACATACAGCAGCACTCAAATTTCAATAGGATATTGTAAAGAAAAGGCTGGCATGATTTAGTGGGTTGGAGTGTCCAACTGCAGAGCCAGGACTCAGGACTTTTAAGTCCCAGGAAAAAGGTCAGCCAAGATTACCTGGAGTGTATATGGCTGATAAAGTTTACATGCTCTGCACCTGTGCAGCCATGGGCCACCTGCACAGTCCCAGAAAAACAGACTGATATATCACTTTTGAGGACCATTGTAAGCAGAACTGAACTGATGACACACCACTACCACCATCATTGTTGTTGTTATTATTGTTCTTACATGCCATCAAGTTGCCTCCGATTTATGGCAACCCGCAGCATTATTGTCTTTATCAGGGAATGTTGTCTTTTCATGATGTGCCTAAAGTAGGACAGCCTCAGTTTCATCATTTTTGCTTCCAGAGATATTTCAGGCTTGATTTGATCTAGGATCCATTTGTTCATCTTTTCTGGCAGTCCAGAATAGCTGCAAACCTCAGCATTATATTGTCTGGAATCACATCCTCTAAAGACCACAAATGAGACAAAGCAAACTACCTTCCCAAAGTCTCTGTACAATTAAATGGACCATTAGCAACTGAGCTGACCATCACATAATTACTCTTAATCTGTTTTTATCATTCTTGCATGCATCCTTCTTAAAATCTGCATATTGTTGGGCAAGAAAGCACACCAATTTCTTAACTCACAGATACAGACATTTGGCAACTGCTTTGATATACAAAGGTAGAGGTGTTAGGCCCCTCTTTGAAGTCTTCTTGATCGGCCCTTGTGGAGCCTAGAGGAGGATCCAAAGAGTCAAAACAAAATTCTCAAACTGGGCCACCTTGGAATGGGCATCAAGGAAGGCCCAGAGCCAGCAAAGTACCAGATCCCTGATCCCCAAACTCCATAGCCTATCCAGAAATATACCATGGTCAACAGTATTGAAAGCCACTGAAGCATCTCAGAAAACCAGCAAGGTTACACTCGCCTCCCCTCAGGGTGCCCAGTGCTGTCTTGGTGCTATGGTACAGTCAAAACACTGATTGAAATGGGTTTGGACTATTAGTATCATCCAAAAACACCTGCAGCCGATTGGCTTCTACCTTCTCAATCAACTTGCCCATAAACAGAATATTGGTAATGGGCTTGCAAAGTTTGTAGGTTTCATTTCTTGCTTTCCAGTTTCCAGTTTCCAGTTTATGCTTTTGGTGTTCTATGTTCCAATTGTGTGTGTTGGAGCACTAGAATTTTCTTTCACCTCTGTGCACATCAGCAATTAACCATCCTTTTGCTTTAATTTAGTTGCATCATTAGTAATAGTGCTATTTGTACTTGTTCTTTATTTCCCCCCAGTAATGATTGTTCTTTATTTCCCCCCAGTAATGATTGAGTGCTTTCTGATCTGAGAATCTCATCTTCCAGAACTATCTCTCTTTTCATTTTGCATTTTCTCATCATAGGATTTTCATGGTAAGGCAAGTTCAGCAGGAGTTACAAAAGCCACCTTCTGCGCAGTACTAATAAAACTTAGCTTGAGTGTCACCGCCGTTGATTCCTGCACCACTGTTACCTTCAGCTATCATCGCTGCCCAGTAGCAACTTCCCCCATCACCACTGGAACTTAAAGAGGGTTGATGCCTTAGTCTGATGTCTCAGCTGCAGTCATTCTGCCTCGGGTGACCCTGCTAGAGTTTAGGCCTGTAATGGATTATGGCCTCCTCCAAGCATTGCACTCAACTTCACTGACACACTCAGACCCTTCACTATGTTAATATATACATTCAAGGAGATACTATAATAGCAAAGAAAATTATATTTTTCCATCAGTCAATAGTATAATTGCTAATTCAAGTGCTACGTACGTAGTAGCCGTACCAGGATCAAAAGCACTTTTTGATTGTGAACCTTTTCATTCAGTTTCTTTCAGCATGTGTCTACTTTCCCTCTCATGGGGAGGAGGGGGTCCAATACTATTCATTCAATATGATTTTGACATGCATTGATCTGGATTATTTGGATAATACTAAGACAACTTTTTCTTTCTGTATGTGATAAAATGCAAGGCTGGCTCTGTTATTAGACAGTGTAACAAATGTGGGGGTGGGGGCACAGAGCAATGGCATATTCTCCCTACACATTCTGCAGGATGACCTGGGCCTGTGAAGCAGAAGGGAAGCACACTCTGGCTCCAGTCTCCAACAAAAGCAAGAACTATTGTTTGGGTTGTGGGTGTGGGTCGAGGAGTGTAGGATTAGAGAACTGGGGCTGGGGAGAGACCGAAGTTCAAATCCCCACTTAGTCACAAAGCTCATTGGATAATGTACGACCCATTATGATATCTTAGCCGAATCTGCATCATAGGGCCATTGTGAGGCTAAAAATGGAAAAGATACCCATGCTTGCCATCTTGGGCACCTTGACAGAAAGCCAGGATATAAATGTAAGAAATAATAAATAGGTGTGTGCATAAGCGTGTTTGCTAGTTACCGTATTATGGTCTGTTGTAACTTGCTTTGAGGACCAAACAGATTGAAACATGGCTCCATTCATACTATCACACAATACAACTTTTGCTCTATATGAGATCACTTTCCCTATACAGTATTTGCATCTGGAAAGAAGCTGTGTGCAGACTATCACTTTAATTATTGTCCTGACAAACTGAAAAGCCGCTTACTTAGCTATGATTAGAAACACAAGTGTGGTGGATCTAATATTAAGTTCCTCTACTAGGCAAAAGGACTGATTCCCCTCTCATAACTATTGTGGAAATGGTCTCAGTGATCCTTAGTAATCTTATAACCATTGCAAATGTAATGAAATGTCAACTTGACTGCATGAGAAAAATATGTTTACGATTTTCCCCATGGCACCTGCTTCTCCATCTCCTCTACCACTCAACAGAGATGTGAAACTACTTGACTGAAATGGAGGATAAATTTATCACTGGTAGTCAATTTTAATGGTCCATGAAACCATTAAAAAGAGAAAATAGATCACACCCCAAACACACATCTCACATGTACTGGAAAGGAAAAGTACTCAGTGGCTGAAGTCCTGTTGCTTAGTGCAGTTGGTTACTTAGTGCAGACCCATTAAATCAGTGGGGACTAAGTCAGTTCATGTGTAAGTTCCATTTATTCAAATGGGCCTATTCTAGTTGCAGCTACTCTGCTAAAAGTAAGTCACAGCTAGAACAGGCCCATTAGAATTAATGAAATGTACAGAGGAGTTGACTCAACAAATCCCCAATGATTCAATGGGACTACTCTACTGGAACTTACTATGCTAAGAACAGGATTTCAGCCACTGCTCCATAGCAAAATTGGTTAAAATAGGGAATATTCTTCAAAGAGGAAGAAATTGCTGAGGTAGATCACTTTACGTGGAAAAGGCTCACACAGCTATTGAAAAAGAATGTAGATAGATCATTTTCAGAGCCTGGAAACTGACTTTTTAGAAAGGTGAATATAATGGCATGCAGAAGCCATGCAGAAGAAAAGTTAGTTTTTTAGACTAGAACCACTAGAATTCCCCTGGACTACAAAGAGAACAAACCTATCCATTTTGAAGGAAATCAACCCTGAGTGCTCACTGGAAGGACAGATCCTGAAGCTGAGGCTCCAATACTTTGCCCATCTCATGAGAAGAGAAGACTCCCTGGGAAAGACCCTGATGTTGGGAAAGTGTGAGGGCAAGAGGAGAAGGGGACGACATAGGATGAGATGGTTGGACAGTGTCATCAAAGCTGCCAACATGAATTTGACCCAACTCCAGGAGGCAGTGGAAGACAGGAGGGCCTGGCGTGCTCTGGTCCATGGCGTCACGAAGAGTCGGACACGACTTAACGACTAAACAACAACTAGAATTCCCAGTCAGTGTGGTTATCAGCTGACCATGCTGTCTGGAGATGTTAGGTTGTAACTTCCAAGTTTTGTACCATTGACCAGTTACTGATGACTTCAACATTTCATTCTATTAATTCTTCTAAAAGATCTTAAACCACTCCTCTTCTCCTTATCTACAAATCTATTAAAAAAACTACAGCAGGATCTCCAAATCTATGGGGATCTGTTCCAAGCCCTCCCAAAGATGTTGAAAATGTAGAATGCTATTTTAATAGTGAATGCTATACATCAGGCTTGTCCAACCTGTGGCCCAAGGGCCGCATGCGTCTCAGGTCAGCTCGTAATGTGGCCCAGTGCAATTTTTTATTTTTAAAGAAATCCCAAAATTTCACGTTACACTGCCGGCGCTCGCAGCCGGAATGTGGCCGGGGCACGTCACAGCAGTAGAGGGAGAGAGAGGGAAGGAAGGAGTGGGAGGGGAGAGGACAGGGGGGCTACGTGACTGCATTGCGCCATCTCCATCAATAGGTGGACCCCTCCCGGCCCCATAAAGCCGCCGGAGTCGAAGCTGGCAGCCTCTGCTGTCTGAGATCGCAACTGCCGGTAAGCGCGCTTGAAGTGGAGCTGTGGAGGATGGCTAGGGCTGCCCCCCCATGCGGCCCAAACCAAATTTATATGCAGCCCAAACCAAATTTTCATCTTCTAATGTTGACCAGGGAAGGTGAAAGGTTGGACACCCCTGCTATACATACTGTAGTGTAGCATCTGGTTCCCTCTAGTGCCTGTTCTGGTATTTACATTGTAGTAATCTATTTCACTAGCAAACACAGTACAGTATAGCATGGTCTCTGGCTCCCTCTAGTGGTCAGTTCTGGTAACTTCATTGTTAAAAATATTTTGGGGGATTTTTCTTGTAATGTTTTTATACATTTTCAGATTGTGCGTGAGTGAATCAGAGAATACTGATCCCATGGATGTGGAGATCCTACCAGTCAGAGACAACAGCAGGCTAGATTGGCCAATGGTCTCACTATAAGGCAAATTCCTAGGTAACAGCTGGAAAATTCTTCCATGCTTTTACATACATTTTGTGCTGGCTACATGCTCCCCTACTGTCCTATCTGTCTGTTCCAGCAATCTGTTCTCCGTTCTGCAGCACATTCATTCTTATCCATGTACTGGCGGCAGAGAGAGGCACATCAGATGATTCCAGTAGGAGAAACAAAATGAAGTGCCCGAACCAACCAAGCTGGGGACAGCCTTGCATTCCTAGTTCTCAGATTGTTGCTGGGCAGCAGGACCAACTGAGCAGCAAAGCACAGAATACATCTTTCTGCCTGTTAATTGTCAAGCAGTTTCTATTGTAAAGCGTCTTCCATCTTTACCTTCTACATAAATCTCTGCAGAGGTGGAGTCTGTCCCATAGATGTTGGATGCAAAGCAGGAGTAACGCCCTGTGTCTTCTTCAAAAGCCTCAACAATGATCAGTGAGTGCTGTTGTCCTGACTGGATGATCTGAATATCTGGTGAGTTTTCAAGCTCTTTTCCTTCACAGTACCATCTGGAAAACAAAAGCAGCATTTGTTACTGTAAGAAGCACTTCACAGATGAAACTTGGAAACACAGGGTAACAATAAAAACAGCTGCCCAATCATCCCAATGTACCTCCAGTTCATGAAACTGAAACAAAAAGATGCGGCATCTTTTGTATTCAGTTGCAGGTAGTTAAGACGGATGTTTTCAGTTCAGACTAGAGCATGAAGACCCTACTTGGCTATCAGAAAAGTTGTGCGATAGGATGGAAAACCAGTGTGACAGAGTGGCAGGCCCGGATTAGCCATTAAGCAAAATAAGCATGCACTTAGGGCATCAACAAGGGAAGGGGTCAACACAGTTTTTTTTACAGTGCTGGACTTTCCATGGTGCAAACGGTACACCTTCCCTAACAGAGCACATCCACCCATCCCTTACTCTCAGCTCATTCTCTCCCTCCCTCAAGAGCACCAAGAAAACCGCCTCCCTACCTAAAGTAATTGAGTACAGACCTGTAAAAACTCAAAACTCAAAAGACTTGCCTAGCGAGAAAACTTATATTCTGTGTGAAATAATCAGTCATCATCATCATTGCTTGGTGATTTTTGTTTGTCTCTATTTTACTTCTGTATTTTGGGAGGTTGGGTGAGAATAAGGATAAAAAGAGCTGCTGGTCTTTTAGACCCATGGACTCTGTACTACATGTGTAAGCCAAAGAAATAACAGCTACTGTTAAAAATGCCCCCAAAGGGGTTTTAAGCTCCTGTTTGAGCTTTTCAGTTTACAGATTTCAACAAAACTTTGAGCTTTTCAGTTTACAGATTTCAACATTAATCAAAGTGTGGAAGTGCAAGATTTGACTGGAATCTGATAATTTGATTGCATGTATGATTTTATATACGACATGTGGTTCTTTTTCTGTCATGTGCTACACAATTAAATTACCATATTTTCATGGATATAATGTTACGTTATACTTTTTTTTAAGTCATGGGACCCTGTCACACATTTCAGTTTACAGATTTCAACATTAATCAAAGTGTGGAAGTGCAAGATTTGACTGGAATCTGATAATTTGATTGCATGTATGATTTTATATACGACATGTGGTTCTTTTTCTGTCATGTGCTACACAATTAAATTACCATATTTTCATGGATATAATGTTACGTTATACTTTTTTTTAAGTCATGGGACCCTGTCACACATTATATTTGATTAAATTACCATATTTTCATGAATATAATTTTATACTTTTTTAAAAAGTCATCGGACCTGTCACACATTATATTTGGAGGAGGCACCATAATCTTAGAGCCTCTAAAGGTATTAATCCAGCCTTGTATCGTGGTTAATGTATGGGAGGAAAACCACTGAAACTCCACTCCAACCCACACTCAGCCATGAAGCTCACAGGCTGACTTAGCGACATCAGATGATGGCATACCCACGTGTACTGTCCAGAGCACCTTTGAATAAGGGTGGGATTGAAAGTCTCCTAAATAGACTAAAAGATAGATGTGGGCCGTATACACACATGAAATCCCAACTCAACCTAAGCAAGCCAGAACAGTCTATATATTCCTAAAACAAAAGATGCCCCTCAGTTTGCAGCATGTCCAGATCATCCTGCCAGTTTTCTTCTGAGAATCCCTTGCACTGTTCGGAGAGGCAGAGACCTGTGAACAAATGAAGTTGCCACAGACTGAATTGTTCTCCCGTCCCTACTTAGCTCAACTGACCAGAGACAAGATAAAAGTGAACCTTCATTTGGGCTTTATCAAAACCAAAAGGAAGAATTACACAGAACAAGTCCACTAACATGAGAAACACCTGAAAACAGCAACATGCAGTAAGCTAAAGGCTAGGCCCAAGTGAGGGGAACCTATGCCTCCACCCATATTGTTGGACTCCAGGTCCCACTAGCACCAGGCAGCAGAGCCCGTCAGTGGTCTGGTGTGATTGGAATTCTCTTTAACAACTGAGAGGCAACCAGTTCCCCATCTCTGACTTAAATGTTGAGCTGCTAACAATAGAGATTTGTAAAATGAGGCATGGAGCGGAGGAAGAAGAGAACTCAGAGGACATTCTTCTCCCTTTCTCATGAAGACAGAATTTCCAGGGTGCTCAAGGCAACTAATTGGCAATAGACTGTGATTAAGCGAAAATTAAATACCACGCATGCATTAATTGATGAGATGGCTTATATAATAAGACATTGTGGTGATCTTTTTTTGTTGTTTTTGGTGTGTGTGTGTGTTTAAAGAGCAAACAATATTGTGGAGAACAGGGCTATTAACACCCACAAGAGATAAACAAAATTTTCTTGCTCAAAAATAACAAAAGGATGGAGCAAAGGACTCGGGGGGGGAAGTCACATGGCCCTTCTATGCAAGGGTGAGTGATGCCTGTAAGATGTCTCAGATGACTAAAAAATCACAAGCATAAACTAGATTTCGACTCCACATAATTCTGCATCAGGCTGGACGTTACAGAGTTGGGGGTAGTGCAGATGAAACATAAAGGTTCCAAAATCCATGGCCAGACCTGCAGGCCAGGTGTCCTTTTTAAACGCAAGTTCCACAACAGGGACCACAGAATGAGCTCAGAAGTGGTTGTATTCTGATTTCAGCGTAGATTAGAATGACACTTCAAATCATGTTAGGGAAAGGTCTGCCAACTTTTATGTTTCTCCTTCACCACTCCTAGCTCTGTAACATCCAGGCTAATATAGACTCAAGCAGTTTCTAGAGCTTGCTTATGTTCTAAGTGGTCTAACAAACATGTCATCTGATTGTTCAAAAGTAAAATGCCATAAAACAACAACTGCTGTACATGGAGGGAAGAAATCTGTTGCCTTCAGGAAAAAGTATCTGATCACTGGAATGTAGGAATCTGCCTTATAGTAGACTGGACCACTGGTTCATTTAACCCAGTACTGTACAGTATTTTTGACCCTGGGCAGAGGTGGCCTCTCAGAGTTTCAGGGAGGATCCTTTTCTTGCCCTGTCTGGAGATGCTAGAGACTGAACCGGAGCCCTTCTGCATGCACTTCATGCACTGAGCTACAACCACCAAGTATCCGGCTTGCCGCTGGATGTTGGACTGCATGGATCTAACTGAAGCAATTCTTATCTTCCTATGTATATAGAGAGCAACTCAACATTTGATTAGGTACAAAGGATGGGTCAATATACCTTATCTCTAATAAAACAGGAATGGGAGGACATGAGAACGGCCCCAAGGAAAATGAAGGGGAGTTTCACTCCTTACTAGCTGGATGTCTTATGTAGGAAAATAAACTGATAACCTATGCAATCAATATATTTGCAAATGTTGTCATTTATGAAAACCATATGTATCCATTACATGTTTTGGGAATACACAGCGTGCAGCAACTTCCGAAGATGTTAACTGTGTTAAAACAAGGCTTTGCGCAAATTTTACACGTTAGGTGAAATCTTATTGCTTAGCATAGTAGTCACAGCTGGAGTAGGCTCATTAGGTATGGAGGAGTTGATTCTCCAAATCCCCACCAAATTCAACAGGCTTACTCTAGTTGTGACTTACTGTGCTAAACAACAGGGCTGCAGAGACATGAACATATTTTGAGCATGGGAGATAACACTAATCCTTAAACCACTGGTTCTTAACCTTGGGTTACTCAGGAGTTTTGGACTGCAACTCCCAGAAGCCTTCACCACCAGCTGTGCTGACTGGGGTTTCTGGGAGTTGCAGTTCAAAAGCATCTGAGTAACAAAGGTTAAGAATCACTGCCTTAAACTATGGAAACACAACAATAAATTTTCCCCATTTACCCATGCCAGAATGTAATAAGTTCAGAATAACTTGATGGAAGACTTCTACACGAACTTTTAGTACCAAAGATTGCAGTGACTATAGGATGATTGGATTAATTTCACTTGCTAGCAAAGGGACGCTCAGAATTTTATAACAAAGACTTCTACTGCATAGAGAGCAAGAAATATAAAATAGTCAAGCTGGATTTAGAAAAAGAGCAAATATACATTGGCTACTATGGTGTGCTAGATTTCAGCAGAAAGTTGGTCTAACTTTAAAGATCATAACAAGATTTTTGTGTGGATCATGAAAAGCTACTGGTCATTTTAAAAGAATGGCTGTGCCACAATATTTGATTGTCATGATTTGTAAATTATATTCTGGACATGAGACTACTCTTAATACAAAATATGAAGAAACAGAATGGTTTCCAATAAGCAAAAGTGTTAGAAAACGGTGTATTTTATCTCCCTCAGCTCAGTTTGTATGCAGAGTATATGGAAAGCTGAATAAGATTTAAATTATTTGAATGAATATCAATAATTTAGATATGCAGATAATATCCTATTAAAAGCAGAAAATAACAACTAGTTGAAATAACTACTGATTAAGCTGAAAGAAAGTGAAAAAGCAGGATTGCAATTTAACATTAAGGAGACAAAAATTATGCCTACTGAATAATTATATAACTTTTCACAAAGAATAATTCAAGTAGTTAAAGATATTAGAAGCATCAATCCAAATGGAGACTGTAGCAAATAAATCTAATGAACACTAGGACTTGAAAAAGCAGCTATGAAGCAAACAGGAAAGGTTCTTATGAGTAAGGATGTGCCACTGGAGACCAAGTTATTCATACTATGATCTTCCCAATTAGAAGGGCTGCTGTATCATGAAAAGACAAGGTAAAGGTAAAGGTTCCCCTTGACAATTTTTGTCCAGTTGTGTTCGACCCTAGGGGGCGGTGCTCATCCCCGTTTCCAAGCCATAGAGCCAGTGTTTTGTCCGAAGACAATCTTCCGTGGTCACATGGCCAGTGCGACTTAGACATGGAACGCTGTTACCTTCCCACCAAGGTGGTCCCTATTTATCTACTTGCATTTGCATGCTTTCGAACCGCTAGGTTGGCGGGAGCTGGGACAAGCAACGGGCGCTCACTCCATCACGTGGATTTGATCTTACGACTGCTTGGTCTTCTGACCCTGCAGCACAGGCTTCTGCGGTTTA